CCACTACATCATCAGTATCACCAAATTGAGTTAAGCTAAGAAGAGCAAGTTTATTTAAAGACAATAAACTCTTTTAAATATTCCTCCCTAACTCCTCAGTTAAAGACAGCAAGACATAAAGACTGATTGCTAAGCAAGGCTAAAAATGTTTTGGTACCTTTGGTACCTTTCCTTCTCATCAATAATATAACAGCAGACATACTGAATGCCTTGAAGAGCTAAATTTATCCAAGATTGTTCTTGTAACCACAAGGAGCAAGGATTTCCCAGGGAAGTCAATGACAGTTACATACATATATACCTTCACAAGGAACTTGCTCTTGAAAATCTGACACAACTAGTCTTGTCAGTGACTTCATGTGACTTTTTCCCCCCTCTGGTCAGATAAGCTTTGCAATGAATGATGAAGAAGAAAGTGAGAGGATTTATACACGCATCTATACAAAGTAATCCAGATTTTCTTCCATCCCCAGCATTAAGGTACATTGTAAGACAATTCAACAGTCTTTCAGGCAGGTCAACGTTGAGTAACAAAGCATTATCCTTTGCAATATACCCACTAGGTTTCAAGATTTCTATTAGGTATTTGTATTTCTTTGTAATTTGTTGGACACTGGCTGAATTTCTAAACAATTACTGGAACTTAGAGGGTACAAGCCATTCTCAAGTGCTTTGGAACTTACACACTTCAAGCAACATTTGCCTCCTATAAAATTAACTAATGCTAATAATTACTATGCATTCTCTACCTTTTACAAACAAATTCTTTCAGTTAAGCCTTTCACAAAACTTGTTTTAGAATCACACTCGTAACATTTTGTACAGACCACACAGGTGGCAACCTCCCCTGGACTTGTAAGAGTCTTGCACAACTGTTCCCTCAAAACTTAATTATGTCAATTTTTAATCTGTTGGGATTTTTAAATTATTAACATACACTGTTTGGTTGCTTTTTATGTGCATTAATTTAGAACATTTTTAATACAACAACAACAACTGCCTCCTATGGCATGTATTTTTTTGCCTTGCTCTTCATGAAGGCCCACGGTTACTTGCTGATAAAGGTTACTTCCCTTCTGTGCCTGTAGCCATAGTAGGATATTATTTAAAATAACCATTTGATTCTTTAAAGAAATAAAAAAGCTGCAGGTCCTTCACCTGTCCTCTGAATACCCCCAATGTAGTGAAGACTGGTTTGCTCCTTCTAATATTATTTTTATAAAAATGTTTAATGTTCACTTTGAAGCCTTTGCCAAAGGAACCAAAAATCCAGCACCTGCAGACGTGTTAAGAATGCAAATCAGGGGTGTCTAAGAGGTACCTACACCACTTCAAAATTACACTTATTTCAATTAAAAGTCATTATATATCTTTCAAATTGTAGTGCTTACCCCAAGATGACTGGGTTATAAATTATTATGGCAGCTGTTCATACATATGTCCAGCTGTACAAACAAATGTTTGTCAACATCTCTACTACTGATGACTGGGACTCCTGTTCTCAGACTTCTTCCTACTCCAGCTTTCCCCAGGTTTCTCCCTAAACCCAGAAAACACAAGGTTATAGAGTGAAAATATATAGAAATGTATCTCTAATCACTAACATCTAAGTTAATTTCACCACAAGGCAACACACCAAGTCCTTCCTTAGTTGCAGGGAAAACTAAAACTACAGGTTACTATGAATTTGGGCAGGCAGCACATTTTTAAATTTTTATACTGCCTTTTTAGTCTTATTTCTAAACCATGACTTCTGGCTGCCATTTTATCACCAGCAAGGGCACAAGGAAGAAAAAAAAAGCTTGATGATTCATTCTAAGGCACAAAAAAGATCCTGCTGCTCAAACAGAACAGAAATAAAATGAGAAGGTGACTCGTGGATGCTGCCACCCTTGTCAGACAACTAACATCAACAGTTCTCAGAAGCAGAACTGCCAATCTGTATTGAAGTCTGGTATTCTGAGGACCAGAATCAAAGGCATGATTGCCAGAAATATCCAGTGCTCTTTGCTTCACCACAACAGACCAACATTTAAGACAAACACCACTCATTTCACAGCATAGCTTATCATTTCATCTTGGAGACATTATAGCATCAGGTATAACAAATGGTTATACCTCAAAGCACATTAGAAAACTACTTGTTGCTGCTTTTAGTTAAGAGTGCACCATTTATTTTGGCTTTTTCCCTGACCACACAGAAGAAGAAAGCAATGATCACCTTGCACCCAGGAAATGTGAGGCAGTTACAGCACAGTACCAAGTACTGTTTGCCTTTATCTGCTGAAGAGTATTTGTGGCACCAGGATTCAGGAGGGATGTTGTGAAGTAAGCATTTGGAAAAAAGTGTATTTAGTGAGTGTTACCCAGAGCTTTGCTTTTAACTGGACCCTCAAAGTAAGGCAGGAAGAGAAGAGAAACACCAAGTTGAACTCTGCTCATCAATCAATGCAAACTGTACTGTTAAGTATTTTTGCTGCAGCTGGGTAGTAACTAGGATTCTAGACATTGTTAGTATAAAAAAAAGACATCTCTCTCATTAATCTAACTTTATTGCAAATATTGTGTGCATCAATGAAGGCACTTTAAGAGAACTTCAAAAAAAATATTAATATAAAATACCTGCTCTGACACAGAACTGTAAAAGGACTAACAGATGAGTGCAAGTTATGCCTACACATGTTGTTTAGGGTATTTCTTCAGTCTTTATTTTCCAGGTGAACTTGGATTTTCATTTGAAATAAATCAAACTTTATCTCCTCTCACCACTCCCTCAGGACAGCACTACTTATTTTTAATGATCCAAGTGTATCTAACTATTGCTTTGCAGTTGTTTCCATCAGAAGAACTTCTCCAATGTTGGAATATATACAAGTCAAGCTTGAAGGAGTTTTTTTCAAAGCTATGTTGCAAATAAAAGTACAATAGATGAGAAAGTATTTTTTATTTTACAAACATACAAAAAAGATACACCTCCCATTTAAATATATTTATCATTATCACAGAGATTTAAACAATAAAATATACTCAAGAAATCTTAAATTGACAGAATATGGATCAGCTGTCAAATAAGCATATCGTCAACCTGGAAGTACAGAAACTGTTGGAAAATGTTCTCACTGAAAATTATGGAAGGTAGAAATAATGCAGAATCCACATCTAACACCCTTCCCAACACTACAAGAAGCAACTTTAAAGTATTTGTATTTACTAGATATATTTAAAGAGTTCCCCATGTTCTCTGAATTTTCTCTTTAATATTTAAAATTATTTATGAAGGTGTAATGTAAGCAAGTGATTTGCTTAAGAACATACTCAAAATATTCTGCTGACCAGAACTTCCAAGACTTTGGAGAACAACTGGCTCATGTGGTAACTGTGGCAACTTAGCTGACATGCAAAAGTTTCAAGTTCACTAAAATAAGAGTTTCCTAGTAAGTATCTGTGCTTAGACTGCACTTTTTCCATTAATTTATACATCAAGATACACAGCCAGCCAAGTTTCAGTCTTTATGTAGGCATCTGTAACTTGAAGTTTAGAAGATACTAAACCCTCCCACTAGTTTTTGGCCAAGAACATGTAGTGAATAATGAAGCTATTATTGCTTGTCATTTAGAATCCAGTGTTGCCAAAACCCAATACTCAAATTCTGAAATTAACAGAGAAAAATTAAAATGCATTCACATTACTATTGGAATATTTATCTTGTTTTTGCTGACCTTAAAATGAAGTAAGATCACTCAGTATAAAGTGATTAAGTTTTTTCAAGTTAACACAAGTGAGTCCTCCCTCTTAATTTCTTTCCATCATTTATACATGCAGCTTGCTCACTGTTTCACGTTTGATGTGTCACATCACACATACCAAGTTGAAGGAAATAATTGTTTAGGGGAAGAGACTAAAGGCAGAGCAGAAGTAAGGAAGCAGTAACACTGCCAAGAACTGTCAGCAATATCCCTGTTTGAAACAAAAAGTTGCCTTGAGTTCTAAACAAAGATCAAAAAGATAAGTTAACACAAGAAAAACATTATGGAGAAAACCCATTATTTCCTGACAGTCTTCTAAGGGATAAGCAAGGAGATACTTTCTCCTCACCCCAAGAAAACCTCATCTCAGAATAGCATTCTCATCTCTTCATCACTCAAGAGCAGCATCACCTTAGTGCTGTCGAACACACAAACAGACAGGAACAATAGATTAAGTTAGTTACAAAGGGTTCACCACTACAAATTTTATTTGATTAGTTAAATAGAAAACAATTGGTACTAAACGTTTTGAAAAGCAACTGAAGTGTTTTTTTCCAGGAAAGGATTAAGAGCAAATCCATCAGGAGCTTATTTGAAGCAAATAATTAACCAGTCTGTCAAGTATTTATCCCAAACTTCAAGTTTTCCTACATCCTTCATACATCACAATCTTGGTTTCTTCCAGCAACAGGCAAGAAAGACAGGCCTAGCCTGTTTCAAGGATCCACACATCCTCTAAGCTTAAGACAGTCCACCTACTTTGAACATCTTGGCTAATCGTATTCCTTGGGAACTCGTATACAGCAGGAGTAAATGTGTTTACAGATTCCATAAGAGCAATGGAACATTCTGGAAACAGCCAGTTCTGTGACTTTAAATCAAGTAAGAATAAAAACTAATCTTTATCTGGAATAACCATGCCAGAATCCTTTCCCTACCCAGAGATCCATGTTTTCTTCTGCCAGTTTTCCTTAGCAGACTTCTCAGATACAATAGCTCTCTAGGTACCTACCTGACAGCAGACAGAAGCTGTTAATATGGAGAATATATTAGGTCAGCCTTTATGTCACATTCAAAAGTTTCCAGAATATATCCAATCCTCAGTACACAACATGTATGACCCAAGAGTGAACCCAGGGAAGATACTTTGAGGTATTCATCAATTTGCATCTCTTATCTACTGGGAGCAGTGATACAGTGATAACCGTTTTGGTTAAGAAATAATTCATGAGGTCTCTAAACAAACCACTTGCCTTGGAGATCAATTCGTCGTGGTTGGCTAGATGGGCCCTGCAGTGGATGCAGCTGTAGGTGCGATGACAGTTTGGCAGGTAAGCCTGGAACGTTTTTGATTTTGTCATTTTTACCATCTCTGCTGGTGGCTCCTCACTCAGCTCAGGGCTGGCACTTGAAGAATTACAACTTTGCTGAACTCGCTGACAGAAGAAACACTGGAATATGCAAGCAAAAGCCGTTGTTGTTCTGGAGTGTGTGTGGCACTTTCCACACAAATGACAGAAGAGAAACAGTCACAACCTGCAGGTGAAAGAGAGCAGAACAATTAGCAGCTTACAGCAAGGCCAGAATAAACTTGTTATTCAACAATTCTAGAGACAAAGCAAAGTTATTTAGAGCAAATGCCTGGCTACATCACAGGCCCCTTTTTTCCTATGAAGCTGCTCAATTCAAGTTCCATTCAACACAGCAATAAGCAGTTCTGTTCCGCTAGAGGCATCCACTCCTTTACATCTCTAATGAAATAGGAAATTCAAACAGCTCTCCACAGAACACAAGCACTCTACAATATACCAGGTACACATTTTAAGACATCCACACAGAAAATGACAGCAAAAAGAGAGCTGATTAGATCCAAGTTCATTGTCTTTGAAATTCCAGTGGTAAGTTCCAATATAGCAAGTGACAAGGAATCTTGGAAAACACTTGCTGTGCCCAACAATAAACATACAATAGATACTTGCACTTCAGCTTTCAGCAAAAATCTTGCTGTACTGCAGCTGGCTTTGAATCAAATACAAGTAAGATACTCAAACCCTGTTCAGGGATCTATGTCTCCTCTTTCAGGCTCAGCAGAATTATGCCTTTAGGCAAAGACCTTTTTGACTAGTGTCCTGATCAAAGCTAATTAGATACCTCCTCACTCTACCAGAATAATCTTAATGGATGCTACCAAAATCAGAGTCAGATAATAAAAGCTAAAGTCTACACGGAAATATCCAATTGTATTCTTAATCTTCAGGGTGCCTTTGAGAAACATTGTAAGCATAAACAGAGGGCCAGACCTTCCTGCTATGCTGGAAAACAAGACTTTTGTAGAGTTTGCCTGAAAATTACATATTCTAAATATTCACAGCAACATCTACTGATCTGTCAGAGGCCATTAGTTACCACAGCACATGCATAAAGCTAATGAGCAACCCAGACATGAACACTGCACAGTCACTTATGTCATCAGCTATCAGGTGACTGACAGAGTAGGTCAATAGCACAAACACAGAAACAAGAGCCAATATAAAGCATTTACAGTATCTTGATCCAGCTACTAAAACAAGCATGCAAAACACTTATGACAGTTGTAAATTGTGCACAGAACAGCAGTTAACCACTCTTCTAGCAGTAGGATACTAGTAATACAAATAGAGCAGAAAATGAAAGCCCCATAAATTAAAGATTGTTTATAGGAAGCAGTCACTGTGCTTCAGAAGAAGTCTTGAGAAAGTGATCTGTACAGCAGGCCTAGCACAAGAGGCAGCCACAGCAAGACTGAAAGAGTTTTGGCTTGGGTTGTTTTTTGTTTGGTTGGGATTTGGGCTTTTTTAAACCTTAAGCTTATGGCAGCTGCAGGAGAAAAGACTTAAGCAGCTAAAATTTCCTACACAAAGAATTCCAAAGCCCAAACAGGACACGTGGCAGAACAAACTAAATCCAAAAAATAAAGCAACAACAGGAACAAGTTGCCATCCGAAGCACGTATCTACACATTGGAATGACTGGACAGTCACCAAAAAGGAAAACAGATTTGATAAGGAATACAATAATATGTCTTAAATATTAACCCAATAAGCGTAAAGAGCAGAACTTAAGTATTAATATATACCTATTTTCCTGATATAATTTCATTATAACTGCAAAGAATGATTACAGTCTGGAGAAGACAGCTTGCTTCTGTATTAGAGCCAGATATTAAGCCACATTTATTAGAGGTAACAGATTTACAGAAAAAAGAAATACAATCCTGGAAGTGATACTTGAGGTCCCCTTTAAATGCCCTGCTTGAACTCTTAATGTTAGAAAGATACAGATCCTGTTTATGTTCTTAGACTTGGGGAAAAAACCCCCACAAAGCAGTGTTTCAGAATGAAAGACACCACAAGCAAAGATGTTTTGACTTGGATTAGATCCTTTAGATCAATAAATGAAACATGAGTTCAATGCTTGCAGAAGTTCAGCTTGCTAAACTGACAAGGAAAATTCTTTTCTTCAAGGCATTCCTAGAAGCTCTTTTAATTCCCATTTCTAAAGGCAATCCAAGCTCTTTCATAGAGTCCTTCAGCTACAGAACTTTAAGAATTCCAAAGCTCATTTGACAAAACGTGTATTTCACACTGCTCTCTTCAAAAAGAAGCCAATCCTAAGTGTTTGAGACACACTGTAAGAACCACAGAACTCACTGCTTTGTGATGTTAAAGGCAAGGTTCAAAGCATGAATCATTTCTTAGTTTGCTCCAGCAATGCTGAATAAATCCAGCCTCGCTCCAGGTTCCATGGCTGCTGTTCCCTGTTCTGCAGAAAACACTGCAAAAACCTGAGCCAACGGTTGTGTTGGTTTTTTTCTCGGACAACAGCACAGCCCGTGCTTTGGCCATGCACACGACGGCTTCATGAAGAGTGACAGGAAACAAACTGCAGAACCCAGCACAGAAAGCCAGTAAAACCAGTCGATGCCCGTTTCTCAGCGGCCGCGCAGGTGCTGCTCGGGTGACCTGTGCTCGCACGGACCGGCCCAGCACCGGCAGCGCCGCCGGGACACCCCGGGAGCGAGGGGCGGTTTGGGGGTGCGGGTGTGTGTGTGTGTGTGTGTGTGTGTATGTGTGTATATACGTGTGCGTGCAAACCATGAACCGCCCCGTCCCGCCGCCCGCACCTGGCCCC